ATTTTATGTTAACAACAGCTTCCTTGCATTTTCCTTTACCCCATACTGTTCTTTGTCTCCTTGGAACTATCTTTAACACCTCTATCATCCCTTTCATATAAACCATGTCTAATACATTAGAAAATTCTACCAACTCTACCGTTAGAATTTATCTAACTACTTTACCCGATCTTCACTGCAATCATTCTGCTCCAGAAATCCATTACCTCTTACCTAGATTATCATGCTAGCCTCCTAATTGGGCCTCTGGTGCCACCCTTGGTCCCTGCAGTCTATTCTCTTCCAAGAAGTTAGAGTAATACTTTTCAAATGGCAGTCATATCATGTTTTCGTGCAGTATTTTACCATTTTATGTAAGTGTGATCTGAATTCTTTGCAATGGTCCACACAGTCAGCCACTCTGAATTTTCAGATTTCATCTCCTCTTTCTCCCTTTTGCTCATTCTTCTCCAGCCACACTGGCCTCCCTACTCCTCCTTGAGCAAGCTAGGCAAGCCTTTGCTCATGACTTTTTCACACACTGTTCCATCTGCTTTGAAAGCTCTTCCCCACCATAAGCACATGGCTTACTTTTTAACTTCTTTCAGAGCCCTCATGAAAGAGTCCTTTTGTGACACTCTCACATAAACTAGAACACAACCTCCCCCATCACTTTCTATAGCCCATACTCTGCATTATTTTGTCTTTGTTACCTTTATTTCTCTCTTGCCAGCACTTCTATATTAAGTAGGGTTTTTTAATTATCTGTCTCCCTCACTGGCATACAAAGTCTATGAGGACAGAGATTATTTTCTTAGTTATTTTCAGTCCTCTGCACCTACAACAGTATGTAGCACATAATAGTTGTTCAGTAAATATTCTTCAAATGCATGAGTGAATCTCCATGCCTGTACATAGGCTATTTTTCCTGTCTGACACATTACACCTTTTCTCTTGTTTTGCTCAAATTCATTTTTCTCAGCATGGACATCATCTCCTACATAAGGCCTTTCCAGAAATTTTAGTTTAAGCTAATTGTTCCTTGTCTCTACACCCATAGCACTGAATGTGTCATCATCCAGCAATTATCTGTCTATTTAAATGACATAAATCTATGCCTGTCTCTTGCACTAGATTTGAATATCCATCATAAAAGGAACCATGTCTTCATTCGACACGTTCAATAAGCATGCAGCAAGCATATAGTCATAGGCACTGGGAATATAACACTGAACAAACAGGCAAGACGTTCATACTCAAGATCCCTGCAGTCAAATATCTTACTCTTGAATGTAATCCCAACACCTAACATTACTTGGCACACTAGAATTATTAATGAGTGTCTCTATTTAGACCTATTATCATATATCTTATTTTTGAAAAATGATCTCTCCCTATATTAGCTCTCTCTTTCAACACGATAAAAGGCATAAAATTTGGAGATATTAACTTAGATTTTCCTGTGTATGTTCTGCAGTTCTGCTCCCCCTCCCAAAAGTCAAAGGTATTCATGGCTTTTCCCCAGGAGAGGGAAAACCAAAAGAGTCTAAAGAGAATAAAGAAATAAAAGCTTCTAGTTTGCTTATTTTAAAATCAACTTTATAGATGTACAATTGACATATGCTAAAATGTACCCATTTTAAGTATACATTTCAATGAGTTTGGGCTAATTTATTAGCGCATGCAACCACCATCACAATGAAGATACAGAATATTTTCATCACCCCAGAAAGTTCCCTTGCCTTTTTCCTAGCCAACCCCATCAATACTCTCAGCCTCAGGCATCCAATAGTCTGCTTTCTGTTGGAATTTTCTGTTTAAATTAGATTTGTTTTTTCTAGTGTTGTATAAATGGAATCATTCACTTTATATTCTTTTGGGCCTGTCTACTTTTGCATAGCCTAATATTTTTGAGATTCATCTATACTATTGCTTGTTTCAGTATTTCTTTCCTTTTTATTGCTGAGTAGTATTCCATTATACGGATATATACAATTTTTTTTATCCATCATTTGATGAAATTCAGGTTATTTTAATTTGAGTAATTATGAATAAATCTACCTAAACAGTTCCATATATGTCTTTGGTAGATAACTATTTTTATTTCTCTTGGATGAATCATTAGACATGAAAATGGTGGGTTATACGGTAAATGTATGGTTAACTTAAGAAACTGCCAAGCTGTTTTCCAATGGGACTGAACCATTTTGGATTGCAGTTGCTTTGCACTCTTGCCAGCACTTGACACAATCATTTTTTTAATTTATGTCAATCTATTTCCTATAGATTTCAGGGCAAGTTAGTGTCTTGATAACTAGGACAGAGTTTAGGAAATATACAAACCTTGCAGAATATCAAGAACTAATCTCAGCCGGGCGCAGTGGCTCACGCCTGTAATTCTAGCACTCTGGGAGGCCAAGGCGGGTGGATCGTTTGAGCTCAGGAGTTCAAGACCAGCCTGAGCAAGAGCGAGACACCGTCTCTACTATAAAAATAGAAAGAAGTTAATTGGACAGCTAAAATATATATAGAAAAAAATTAGCCGGGCATGGTGGCAACATGCCTGTAGTCCCAGCTACTCAGGAGGCTGAGGCAGGAGATTGCTCGCCAGGAGTTTGAAGTGGCTGTGAGCTAGGCTGACGCCATGGCACTCTAGCCTGGGCAACAAAGTGAGACTCTGTCTCAAAAAAAAAAAAAAAAAAAAGAACTAATCTGCAAACATGTTCATAGAAGCAGCTTGATGAAGTCTGTGCAGCCAAGCCTGGGACAAAGGAAGTCGCCAAGACTTTCTGGGACCTGAGAGCAAAATCCAAAGGACTTTAGGATTCAAAAAGATAAGGACGCAGAAGATAAGAATGCAAACGGAGATCATGGTTGGGCCACAAGCCATAGTGAACACCAGCACCAAAATATGGGAAGGTAATGATCTGATTTGTAACTCAGAGAAGGTCAAGGATAACTGAATACTGGAGAGAACCAAAAGCCTCCTCCAGACTGGTGCCATGTCTTCACAGAACTTAGATGTTATCCTAAGGAGCAGGGGAAGGATAAAAAGATATTTTCCCTTAGGTTAACTGATGGAGCTTAAATCCTGAGTCCACAAAGTTTATATCCTAAAGTGGCTGAGTTTACTCAGGAGCAGCAATATTAAGTTATTACCCAACAAGTAGCTTATGGGTAAAGAGAAATTAAGATTGTTTACTAAAAATAAACTTCATTTCTGCATACCTGTGTTTTCTTTGTGAAAATTCACCCACATCATAGCATGTACCTACCTATTTGCACTGTTTCTATTAAGCTGTCCACCTTTGAGTTCTATGTGTATTTTGGTAATGGTGGTGGTATAAATTAGAAAAATGTATAATAAAATAATTTGTTTCAATTAAGCCTTTAAAAACAACTTAACTGTAGTTTTCTGGTTTAGAAAGTATCCCTCCACAATGGAAATGTTAAGAGATATTATAAAAGTAATAAACATAAGCCTAATGTTTACATAATTATAGTTGAAAAATATAAATCTACAAAGACTTTAAGACTTTATTTAATGTCAAGTATTTTCACGGATATACCTAAAATGAGAGATTTTATGTGAATAGTATATACATATATATATTATTCCTGGTAGTTATTTTCTATAAAGTCTCCATGAACACTGAATCAGCAAATACTGAACCATTATCCCTAAGGGAAATACAGGGTTAGGTTCTTGCAAACTTCTGGTCACAATATTTTCATCAACTAACCAACATACAACTTTGTTTTACGTGTGTTTCTGTTTAAAGACTTTATTCAATATATACTTTTGATTCGTTAACATTGAACTCATGGCTAGCAGCATTGTAACCCATGCCTGATGTTCATGTTAGATAAAAGAAGCTTATCTAACATGTAATTTTCTTCCTAAGGCACATGACAGGGTTCTTTTGCTTGGGAACACTAGATATCACTTCAGTGCCTCAGCACTATGCTTAGGGCCATGTTAAACACAGAAATCACCAAAAGCACAAAAGTAAAAAAAAAAAAAAAAGCACTAAATAGACAATAAAAAAGAGGGGGTTTAATATGAGAACTCTAACAAGTGGGCAGAGTGTTTTATTGTTCAACCTCAGCTGGGAATGTGCATGTCTGAGTGCAAGAAATTACACATCCTCAAATGACTAAAAGTGACACTAGTACTGATCTGGGGGTTACAGATAAGTTTCAGTGGGTAGACAATTTCACAAATACAGGACTCATAAATAACGAGATTGCACGATGTGCACCTGTGTGTGTACGTGTGTGTGGAAGATAGTATGCTCCTTGAAGACACAAATATTGTTGATAGACCTTTGAAAAGAAAATTACCTGTCTATGGATATTCAACATATATTGAACAATCAGTGATTTTTGATCCAACATTAGTAGATTCAAAGGAATTTAACCAAGGCTGTTTCTCTTCAGAGCTGTTAACAACTCAAAAATAATCATTTAATCTGAGACATTCTCTACAGTACTTTGCATGGGTGATTCTTACCTTTGTAAAACAACGATTTTCTCCAAAATGCTAATACCAGTCACTTATTATTATATAACCTGCTTGCCAAGCTTAGAAATCTTACTGCTTGGAGTTGGGTCTCCGTGGCCATTCCTTAAGAAACCTCCCAATTTAGGTCTATAAGATTCCCTGTTATAGCATACTTAATGAACATCCAATTTACCCTTTTACTTTCTAATCCCTCCCCAACTCCTTCTGGAAAAAACCAATACAATGCCTTCCATATTTTAAATAAACTTATGTAAATTTTTATCAAATATAAAACTCTTTTTATAGTTTTAATATTTTTTTCTTGCTGGCTCAGGGAAGATATATAGTAATTGTCCATTCATTCACTTATTTTTAAAAATTCTTCTGGGGGATGGTCATAATGGAGACTCAGACTTGTGGGGGGAGGGGGGAAATGGGCATTTATTGAAACCTTAAAATCTGTACCCCCATAATATGCCGAAATTAAAAAAAAAATTCTTTAAGAAATGATGATTGAGCGACTATTATGTCCTAGACCAGGATCATGCTCTGTAAAGGAATCCATTATCTACTTAAATGCCATCCAGCCAGCTCTCTGCTAAGTCTAATAATCTTGATTCATATTTCCCAAACTTTTAGTCATCTTCATGTTTCTCTTTTATTACCTTCTTTCTTGTTCTGAAGATCTGCTTCCAACAAACCGAACTGAATCCAATAAACATCTGACCTAGTACAGATAAAACCAACAAACAACAACAATAAAATATCTTGGTACAGAGACAAAAAAGGTATAAATTGTTCTAATTATAAAACTAATAAATTTTAGTGCCCCCAAATATTTTAAATAATAAACTTACAAGGAAGAGAATAATACAAAATAATAGAAATCACCTCTAATCCCAGCATGCAGAGATAATCCTCTTTACAATTTGTTGTATTTCCTGCCTATGCATATTCTAAATAATTCCAATAGACAATTTATGCATTTTCTTGCCTTTTCCACTGTCAATAATTTAAATTATTTTTAAATATAATAATATTCTATTTTATAATGACATCACAATTTAATTATTCCCGTGATGCAAATATATTTTTTGCAATTAAATAACATTGCAAAGGATTCACATACTAAGTGAAGCCTTAGTCATTTTTGTGATGGTTGAATAGGGCCTGTTATTTCTGATCAGCATATACAGTGTTAAATTTATTCTTGGAGAATATAATACTCTGTGTTTTTTTACTTCCATTTGTGTTTATCAAGGTCATTTCAAATTTATTTCTACCAAAGGTGTGAATTTAGCAATGAAACTTTAAATGACTATATTATAAATAAGAGACGTTTGAACAGAAAATACATAGAAGGACATCTCTACTATAAACAAAACAAACAAAAAATACTCTTTTAAAAATAAAGAATGTTGGGATAATACCAAAAATGAGCAGGAAGCTTATATAGACTAGAGCTCGAATTAGTCCGTGAGGGTAACAACATGGCCTATATTAGGACAGTTCATTTCACAATAAATTATATATTTTGCATCATGCATGATAACTGAAAAAATAGAGCTCTTATTACTCAGAGCTTGTGCAAGGAGATCAACTTTTTCCAATGTAAACATTTACTTTATAATTTTAATCATAGCAATGATTCTCACCACTTAATATTTCTTGAGCCCCCCATATCAACCTAGGGGACATGACAATGTACCAATTTGCTTCATATTTGCTGAAGATTGCAATTAACAAGTCAAGAGAATTTTTATTTTAAATAAAATTATTAATCCATTGCTAATAGGTAAAAGAATGTGCTCTGGAAAGCAATTTATAGGTCAGTGGTTACGATACAGGCATAAAAACATAGTCATCAAGGAAGGAACACCAACTGGAATGTTGAAAAATATTTAAATCTGGGTAATGTTACTTGGAAGCAAATCTCATCTATTATTCCTCAGAGCAAGCACATGGTAAGATTGTACTTCCCTGTCTCTTTGAAATGAGATGTGGTCATGTGACTTGCATGGGTCCCTGAAACCTAAGAGTATGTGTCACTTCCAGATGACAACTTGAAGAACCATTGCACAATTTGCCATGACTCCTCTTTCTTTCCACTGTGATTGTATATGCACATTTTGACATACAGCCTCCATCTACCTAGGTTTCTGAGTGACTATAGTGAACAGAGTCTCACTGCTAATTTGTTTTGGACATGTGACGTGCATAACAAATAAACTTTTATTGTTTGAAGCCACTGAGATTTGGGGGTTGTTACTGTCACATAACCCTAACTTATCATATCTGATACTGCTACAAAAAAATCTCCAGTAAAAAAAAAAAAACATAAAATATTTCTTATTTTTCCAGTAACTTTAGTTGCAAAGGATGAAGTAGAATTGTGGTAGGAAGTGGGGTTTTGTGACCTGGTTATTTCTTCAAAGTCAATGAACAGTTGATATTAGAAATTCTCTTTTAACAGACATAGAAGTATTCTTAACTTCCCTTATTCTATGAGGTAAAATCACCTTCTTAATTAATTTTGTTTTTTTCCTTTTTTCATATTATGCACTCCACAAACATTTATTTGTTACTAATATAAGCAGGTGATCTGGAGAATTCAAAGATGACATGAACCTTATACTTGAGCACTTTATCACCAAAGGATAAGGACAAATATTTTCATACAGTCATACGTAAAATTGGAAGTGAAGTTCCTCTCCCCCATAATCTCATACTTTGGAAATGATTATTTACTCTGCTGTATAACTTTCAGGATTTTAATGCACATATAAGCAGCTTTTTCTTTTATATGAATGGAAACGTACCCTATGTGGTTTTCTGGAACCTGATATTTTCTCCTACTTCTAGAGCACCTTTCCATATGAATATACATAGATCAACTTTATTATTTGTAACAGCTATCTTTTATTTCATTTAGAAATATCTCATGCAATTATAAAGTGGATAGTCTTATTATTTATAAAATTGTTTTTACTACAAAAGTACATATATTTATTCAAACTGAACATGAGAATATTAAAGGAAAGGAAAATAAACCACTCCTGGTAGGTCCTAATTTGAAGTTGCCTGACAAAAAAAAAAAAAAATTTGCATATTTATTTATTTATTAGTTGACTTGTTTTATTTAACTGAAATGTCTGTGGTTCTAGCTCTGGACATATCAGCTCTGCTTCTTCTTCACTACTTGGTTTCCTTTCATAACATTCAGATACTGTAGCAGTTCCAGCATACGTCCTCCAGACCCACATCCAAAAAAAAAGAGTTTACTATCATCCCAGGGGTTCGTTCACATTGGAGTCCCAAGATTCACTCAGATTTGACCAACTCTCAACTTATAACATCACTGACCAGTCATTGAGGCTGGTGGAATTGGGTGGGCTCTTTGATAAGGCTTGAGTCTCACGCTCCACCTCTGGAGTTGTGCCCATAAAAGCCGCCGTCCTAAACCCCGTCCTAAACCCTCAGGCTGCAGACCAGTACCCGTCCACGGCCTGTTAGGAACTGGGCAGCACAGCAGGAGGTGAGCAGCAGGCAAGAAAGTGGAAGCTCCATCTGTATTTACATCCGCCCCCCATCGCGTCATCACCACATAAGCTCTGCCTCCTGTTAGATCGGTGGAGGCATTAGATTCTCATAGGAGCACCAACCCTACTGTAAACTGCACATGCCAGGGATCTAGGTTGCACGCTCCTTATTAGAATCCAATGCCTGATGATCTGAGGTGGTGATGCTAGCGCTGAGGAGTGACTGCAAATACAGATCATAGTTAGCAGAGAGGTTTGACTGCACAATGAATGTAGTATGCTCCAATCATCCCAAAACCATGCCTCCAGCCACACCCCATCCATGGAAAAATTGTTTTCCATGAAACCAGTCCCTGGTGGCAAAAAGATTGGGAATTGCTGTGATAAAGTACCTCCTTCAAAGTGTGTTGTTACATGATTGAGAGAGAAGGGTTTTTATGAAAAGAAAGAAGATTAAGTGTTCATGGCCAAAAAATCATTAACATTCACTACAGCCCCCACCTAACTCCCTGAACTCTTCTTAGTCCTCCCATAGGGTATCACTTGTTAAGAATATCTCTTGTATCTCTCATGTGTTCTTTCACAAATTTTCTATGCATTTATAAAACATACATAAACAGGATCGCATTATAAATTTCTTTTGCTATTTGATTTTTTTTTTTATTCTTCATTCTAGATTTTCCATGGCAGCCCACAAAAATGTCTCAAGCTTTTCAAAGGCTACATAATATTGCATTATAAGTATGTACTACAATTCATTCAGTTAATCCCCTCTTTATGGACATTTGGGGGTTCTGGGAGGTGTTATAATGACAAATAATGTTTCATTTAATATATTTTACATAAATCTGGATGCATTTGTTCAAGTTTATCTTCAGATTAAAATCCTAGACATAAAATTACTGGGTCAAAGAGGATGTGCATTTAAAATGTTAATGTTATATGTTCAAAAATACATAAAATACAATTGGAAGTTGAACCTCTTTGTACTCCCATCCACAGTATATGAGAATGTATGAGTCACATTATACCTTTACAGTTTTGTTCAAGTGATAACTGAAAAGCAATATTTCATTTTTATTTTATTTTGTATGTCATATATGTTGATTAGCCAATAAATGCCATTATCTGTGAATTGCCTGTTTCCATGCTCATTTTTCTTCTGGATACAAAATGTCTCTTATTGAGGTCTTAGTATATTAATAAAATTAGCACTTAATCTACTACATGAACACATTTTTTTAGACTTTTGACTGCTTTTTATGGCATTTTTATCATATCAAACTTTTTTAAAGCTTTATGCATTTAAATTTGTCAATCTCTTTCTCTTGTAGTTTCTGGATTTGTTGTTACTTAGAAATCGCTTTAAATTTATACAAAACTCACTCATGTTTTCTATTTCTTTAATGGCCACATTTTTGTTTAAGTCATTGATTCATCTGAAATTATTGTTAGTCTTGGAATGTGGTTGTCATTAATCATTTGTTTCTCTCTACTTCCAGGTACATGCTAGACAGTATGCATACACCTGGTAGTGGATTGGGGCCAGGTGACTATTAATAGATCTGGGCAATCACTTGTGAGTAGAAGTGGCATAGGTCACTACGGGTCAGAGTATTAATTGGCAGTGGAGTACTTCACGTTTGCCTCCGATGCAGCATCAGGCCATGTTTGAGATGGCAGCTGTTCCATCAGCCTGGGTCTTTGAGTTACATAATCAACAGAGGTCTCCTGACAAACATGAGTGAAAAATAAATTTTTGTGTTAATCGAGCCATTAATACTTGGTTTCTTGTTAACTCCAGCATAACAAACTCTTATCACCTTTTTTCTTTGGGGCACAGTTTCGTAGCAGAGAGTGTCAATACTTCTCATATTACCTCCTTGGTAGCACTGGTTTCCACTTGGCCCAACTTCCAACTCCTAGCACCAGCAGTTCTTTGTTGAGGATGTCCTCTTGCATCTGAAACTCACTCTGCCACCTGTTCAACAGATTGGAAGTTTCTGGAGTTAATGCTTCTAGGAAAAACTCTCAAGCAATATTATAAAAATGTTGGCATAAATACTTTAGCTCCCTTACTCCTTGGGTGGGATAACTCTAAGGTGGAATAGCTTATATGGGCTTCCAGAGCTTCCCCAGTAGAACTATATGCTTCAGTTGCTTCCTGGAAATGGAAGTTGGCTTGATAACATGCTCTTTGAGAGTAACCTTTCCTTTCTTATTTCACTTACCCATTCTCCTACGTCTACCTTCTAATAAATTACTTGACCTTAAATGCTTATCTCAGTGTTTGCTTCCAGGGTAACCCAAACTAAGCCAAATTTAAACAGCAAAAGTTTAGGAACAAGAAATGTCAGGGAGAGAAGGCATTATGAGAATAGATTTAGAGATAGAAAAACAAAGCCTTTGAAGAATAGCAAGTAATTTTGTTCATCTAGATTAAACTATTTGCAAAGGGAAATAATATGGGATATAGCTGAAAAAATAGATTTACAAGATCATGAAAGATCTTGAATGATAAACTTAAATGTTTGGGCATTTAATTATGTGGACTCTTGGCCTATTATGATGTTGCACCTTCCCTCCATTCTGTCATATTTTCTCCCATATTCTTTTCATCTCCCTCGTTATGGATCAAAAAGAAACGGTCCTGTCTGCATTATACACAGAAAAGCAAAGACAAAGAGTAGGCAATTTTCTTGATCAGTCAATCACTTGATAATATTCAACTAATATACAAGAGTCGGACTATAGCAGCTCTGTATTTCTAACCTTCAAGCTGTATTATCTTGCCTTTCAGCTGGAAAAGTATAAAAGGCATTATTCCTTAACAGAGTCACTAATAAAACTTCATACTCCAAAAAAAGAAGATCTGACTTAAGAACTTGAGAAACACAGGGCTATTATATACCCTTTAGGATAAGCAAGCACATACTCAAGAAGAAGAAAAAAAAAAAAAGAAAAACCCTAAGGATTCCTTAGTTTGATGCATCAAAAAGCTAAAATCATCTCTCTCTGGAGGTTATAGGCCTCAAAAAGGCAGCATACAGTAATCATAGAGCACTGGATACAACTCAAAGGACACAGGATTCTAGTTTCTGTATTGTCTTAACCAAATCACTTCTTTTCTTTGGAACTTGGTTTTTACATCTCGAAAATAATAGAGTAAGACTAAAAGAATACCTAGAAATTTTTCTCCCTCAAAAATGCTAGGCTTCCAAATAATTGTATTTTGTGTATACTTTATTGACAAGCAGAGAAAACACATCAAAGTATTCTTGTACCTTTAGCTGGTACTGGAATTCCAAATTGTTGTGGCGGCTGTGTATATACGGCCTCTATTCTCTTAAATAACCTTCCTCCTTTCTGTTTGCTTTCCTATGCTTTAGACTCCTAGAAAGATGGTGTGCAAATACCTTCCCTAACCACCGTGTTTGAAGATTATGCTGTCTCTGTCCTCGATAAAATAGAAGCTAATTTTTTTAGTTGCTAATGATTGGCTCTTGCGATTTAATAAGCCCTCTAAGTCTACTGGGAAAGAACAAGAGGATAATAGCTTTGAGAAGAGAGAGGACACCTCTACAGATCCTCTAAAGAGTGGGGTAGGGGTGCTATATAAATCAAGAGTTACCAGATGAAGCTCCAGGAGTTTAGAACTTTCCAAGAATATGGAGGGTTCCTTAGTCTAAAAAGAGATGTGTAACAAGATCTAGCTAATCTGTATTTTTTGGATGCCCAACAGTCCCATGGGAAGAGAAGGAGATTTCTTGGGCAACCATTACCAGTATTCAGGGATCACACCATTGGTTCTGCCTATCAACACAGCGACAAGAACTAAACTGATCAACCTCTAGCACTTAAGGTTTTTGACCGTCTGATAAGAGAGGCCCTTCACCACTCTTTGCCATAATACTTTGCTCTGTATTTTTCTGAATACAACTTTGGTAACTTCATTCTCACAACAGCCCAGGATATCCACATTCCAAAGGACATACGGAGAAGGGAAAATGACATCTGCCATTGGAGATTAATGTGAATTGAGACCTGGAAGATTTCAAGTCTCAAAAAATAGAGTTGATTTCCAAAAATGTAAAAAGCCAGTCAATTATCCCATGCTTATTCACATTTCTATTTATATTTAACCATTTTTGTTGTTGTTTCTAAATCTATTTGAAATTCTTTTCTAACAAGGATCTCCCAATTTTAAACTGAATGGTTAGATTTTAATAAAAGGTACTTTTATGTAAATTAAGAACAGCTAGTGTGCTCATGACCAGAAAAGCACTGATACAATCTAGAGATAATATAGTAATTCTTGATGTGGTGTTAATTGAATTAAACATTTTAATATTTTTATTGGTGAGAAAAATCAAGTGATTTTTTTTTAATGAAAGAGAATATAGTGGTATCCAAAGAATTGCATATTTATTTATCTACAGTTAATTCAAAGTCTATTTAATGTCTCCCATGAGCCGAACATTTCAAGAATGTAGAGGTCTGGGTTGTGAAATTGATACCTTTCCACCATGAATTAATCAGCATCCTCAGAGTTGAACAGGTGTCAGATGAGAAAGTTCAGGCTTTACTGACCTGAGGCAGCAGGAAACCAACAAATTAAAATTCCTATGATCTATTCCCAGACTACAAATCAAAATATGAAGCACTATTTCAAATTATGGTTTTTAGTGTTTTATCATTAGCCAATATTATCTCTGTATTAGAGAAAAGGAGGCCTGAGAAACTCAGAGAATAAAATTCATTTTTGCAATTTACATGAGATTATAGCTATGGAAAGAATTTTTCTACTACTGGCAAAATCAGGGGAAAAATCTTTGGGTTTTTTGTTTGTTTGTTTGTTTTTGGTTTTTGCAGATTTTGCAAAAACAATAACTTTAAATCAGCCTTCCTGATCTACCACAGGCTCTGGGTAATTATCCCCAATAGGTTTCTTTATTGAGTCAGTTTCTATTTTTTTTCTTCAAAAGTAGTTTCTTTTTGACATTTTTATGCAGTCTTTCTGTTTGCTAAAATAATAGAAGTCTCCTATTACAAAAATATCAACTATTGTCAGGGATTTTGTTTCTCCAAGGCTCAGCTCTCAAGCCTTCTGACATAGTGGCTAATGTGGCAATCTGAACTGTGAATTTCATGCAAATCCCCCTTTTTCCTTACCAGATTAATGAAAATGAAATTGAGACTGACCTACTGCTCTATTTAATTGTCAAACACCCATGCTGCATACCTGAAGTCTCTTTGTGAATTCCTAGAAGGATCCTGGAAGATTCTTTTATTTTTCATTCTGATCTTAAAGAATCCAGTGTAAACCAAAAAAGAAAAACTAAATAAGGAGAACTTCTGCTTCCTGCTGAGATGCAGAAACAGGAACCAATTTACTCTTCCACCTGAAACAACAAAAAATTAGTCAAAATATTTGAAGGAATGGTTTTTAAGACACTGAACTACCAGGCAATGAATGATACTGATCCCTGGATGAGAAACGAGTGAGTGGATTCTATTATTTCTCTACCTAACTACCTTAAGGGAGTTTCCAGGCCACAGCCCGGGGAGGAAGAATCCAGGTGGAGTGTAGAAGACTCCATGAGTTGAGGAAATAGAGAGTCTGTTGAGACCAAAGCAGTTAGTGTTCACAGAACAGAGTACCAAAGAGCAAAGATCTGCACATCGAGAGAACTCCTGATCTCTGCAGAATGTCTCTCTTGAGTATGCAGCTAAGTACAGCTCAGTGCATTCATGTGAGAAACTACTTAAGGCCAGAGAAAGAACAACCCCAAACAGTGCCCAGTTAACACTCAGTGGAGAGAATAGTACCTGTACTCATCAGGCAGACTGAAAAATCTCAAGACCTACAGGGTATTGAATACAGTGTTCAGAAGTGTCTTGCCTCAATAGGAGGGAATAATTAGTCCATGACTAACACTAATCTGGTCTGCCTAGCAATTCTTAAAAGCAAGACCAGAAGGGATCAAATCGTTTCCAAGTAACTTAACTGAGTCCCGGAACAAAGCTCAAGAATATTTATAGGAACACAAAAATATTCAGCATCCAACAAGGTATAATTTACAATGTCTGGCATCCAATCAAAAATTTCCAGACACACAAAGAAACAGGAAAATATGATCCATAATGAGGAGATAAATCAATCAATTGAATCTGATTAAGAACTAACCACAGATGTTAGAGTTAGCAGAGAAGGATATTAAAATGGTTATTATAACTATATCCCATATGTTCAAAAAGTTAAGCAAAAACATGAGAGGTATAAAAATGATCCAAATCAAACTTGTAGTGATTAAAACTAAAATGTGTAAGATGAAAAATATACTTTCTAGGACTAATATCAGGTTAGACATTGAGGAAGGAAAGATTAGTGAACTTGAAGGCAGAGCAATAGATACAATCCAAAATGAAAAATAGAGAAAACATAGCTTTAAAAAGTTGGACAGAGTATTAGCAAGGTGTTGGACCACTCAAGCAGCCTAATATATGAGTAATTGAACTCATAATGGAGGGGGAATATTTAAGAAATTATGGATGAAATTTTCCAAACTTGCTAAAAATTATGAACCCACATGTACAAAAAAGTCAATAAATCCTAAGCAAAGAAACATAAAGAAAACAATACTAAGACCAGAATAATCAAATTTATCAAGACCAGTGATAAATATAAAACCTTAAAAGCAGTAGAAGAAATAAATATGTATTGAGAAACAAAGATAATGGTAGATATATGTTATAAACAATACCACAAAAAAGACAGTAGGGCAACATCTTTAAAGTACTGAAAAAAAATCAGTCATTCTAGAATTCTATGCCCAGTTAGAAAGGTCTTTCGAAAATGAAAGCAAAACAAAAACTATTCCAAACACACAAAAGCCAAAAGAATTTGTCATTCTCTTTGATAAAACCCACAAAATTGATAAATCTCTAGCCAGAGATCAGGGAAAAAGACCGAAAATGTGAATTGTCAATAGTAGGAATGAGAGAAGTAATTTCACTGCATTTTATAAATATCTAAAAGATATTAAGGGAATACTATATACAACCTTATACCAATAAACTCTATAATTTAGATACAATGAACAAATTTCTTAAAAAGTACAAACTACCAAAGCTTACTCAAGAATAACACAAATAGCCCTCCATCTATTAAAGAAATTGAATTAATAGTTATAAAAGTTCCCACAAAAATAATGCAAAAGTCCAGATAGTTTCACTGGATAATTTTACCAAAGCTTTAAGAAACATGTAATACCAATTATACATAAACAATTACAGATGATTTAAAAGGAGGGAATATTCTCCACTTCATTTGATGAAGCCAGAATTACACTAATGTCAAAAATACATGAAGATATTGCAAGAATAGAAAACTGCACATCCACATCCTTCATGATCCTGGATGGAAAAGTTGTTGCTAATATTTTAGCCAATAAAATCCAACACTGGGCAATAATATCAATCATGACCAAGTGTGCAAGGTTGTTTTAACAATAGAAAATTAATCAATGTGCTTCATCATATAACATTAACAAAGAAACAAACAAAAGAAATATAGAAAAACTGTATGGCCATCTCAATAGATGCAGAAGAAAGCATTTGACAAATTTCAACATGCATTCCATATTAAAAAAAAAACAAAAAACAATAACTCATACAACCAGGAATAGAAAGGAAATTTCTCAACTTGATAAAAGACTTCTGCAAAAATACAGGTAAAAACTAAATATAGCTTTAAGATCATGAACAAAGCATTATGTCCACTCTCACCACTTGTCTTTTATATGTTATTTATGGAATTTCTAGTCAATGCAATAAAGAGAGAACAAAACAGTAAAAGGCATCTAGATTGAAAACGAAGGACTAAAACTGTCTTTGTTCACAAATGACATAATGATTCATGTAAAAAATCCACTGGAATCTATTCTAAAAGCTACTAGAACTATATGAGGTAATGTTTCAGGGTAAAAGATCAATATATAAAATCTATTGTGTTTATCAGAAATTAAAATCTTAGAAAATCATGCCATTAAAAATAACTTCAAAAATATAAAATAATTGGGGATGAATCTGACAAAAGATGTGAAATATCTGTGCTCTGAAAACTACAAAACATTACTGAGAGTAATTAAAGAAGACTTAAATAAATGGTGAAATATACTAGTTGAGTATCCTTTATCCAAAATTCTTAGGACCAGAAGTGTTTCAGATTTCTAATTGTTTCAGATTTCAGGATATTTGTATATGTATAATGAGATATCTTAGGAATGGAACCTATGCCTAAACACAAAATTTATTTATGTTCCATATATATCTTATACAAATAGCCTGAAGGGTAATTTTATATGATATCTTTCTTTTCTTTATTTCTTTATTTATTTTTGAGACAGGGTCTCACTCTGTTGATTGGCCTAGAGTACAGTGGTATCATCAAAGCTCATTGCAACCTCAAACTCCTGGGCTCATGCAATCCTCCTGGTTCAGCCTCCTGCGTAGCTAGGTCTGCAGACTTGTCCCATAATACCTAGCTAACTTTTTAAAATTTTTTATAGAGAGAAGGTCTCACTATGTTGCTCATGCTGGTCTTCAACTCCTGGCCTCAAGTGATCCTCCTACCTCGGCTTCCCAAAGTTCTAAGATTATAGGTATGAGGCATCATGCCTAGCCAATTTTCTACAATATTTTTAATCATTTCATACATGAAACAAAGTTTTTGTACATTGAATCATCAGAAAGCAAAGGTGTCAGGTGGGGAATTCTCCACTTGTGGAGTCATGTCAGAGCTCAAAAGGCTTCAGTTATAAGAGCATTTTGGATTTTGGATTTTCAGATTAGGAATGCTCAACCTGTACTGTGAGAAGACTCAATAATGCTAAGAAATCTATTCTCCCTAAACCAATCCATACATTTAAACCAATCCCAATTAAAATTTTAGCAGGCTTTTTTGTAGAAATTAACTGGTTCTAAAATTGATATAAAAATTCAAAAGACCTAGAATAGCCAAAGCAACTTTGAAAAAAAAATGAACATATTTAGAGAACTAACATTTATTATGAGGCTACAATAATCAAGACAGTTTGGTAGTGGTGTAAAGATAGACAAATAGACGAATGGAACAGAAGAGAGGCCAGAAATAGATCCACACATACACAGACAAATGATTTTGACAAAGTTTCAAAGGCAATTCAGTAGAGAAAGATTAGTCTTTTCAACAAATGGTGCTGGAATAATTGGATATATATATATATATGAAAAAAAATAAACTTTGATCCATATCTTGCACCATAAAATTAACTCAACATGAATCATAGACCTAAATGTGAAACTTAAACCTATAAAACTTCTAAGAGAAAACTTTTGCAACTTTGATTAGGTAAAGATTTCTTTAGACATGATGCCAAAAATCACAATCTGTATAAGAAAATATTGATACGTTGGACATCATCGAAATTTAAAAACTTCTACTTTTTTAAATACACTGTTAGCAGAATGCAAAGACAAGCTACAGACAAGTAGAAAATATTTGCAAACCACATAACTGATTAAAGATATATATATATATAAACTCAATAATAAGAAAACAAACAATGGGCAAAAGATGAACAGACACTCCACCAAACAAGACATATAGATGGCAAATAAGCGCATGAAAAGATTCTCAGTAGCTTTAAATTAAAAATCACAATGAGGTAGCATTACAGACCTAGTAGGATGGCTAAAATTAAAAACAAAATTGACCGTATCTGGTTTTAGCAAAGATTTGGAGCAACTAGAACTCTGATAGGTGCTGAAAGGAATATAAAATGGTTCAACTGCTTTGGAAAACCATTTGTCAGTTTTTTTTAAAAAGCAAAACATATAGGTACATATAATTCAGACACTCCACTTTCAGATATTTCCCCAAGAAAATTAAAGTATACCTCAATACAAAGACCTATACATAAATGCTCACAGTAAATTTTTATCTGTACTAGCCTAAAACTATAAATAGCACACATGCTTAGCATAGGAAAATAGAAAAACAGCCATACGGCAACACAAAGGAATACTACTCAGCAATAGAAGAGAATGACCTATTGATACAAGCAACAACATGGATGAGTCTCCAAATAATTATTCTGCGAAAGAAGCTATACCCTTCCCCGAAAAAAATGCATACTGCTAGATTCCAGTCATCTAAGTTTCTATAAAACACAAAGTAGCCTAGTGTGACAAAAACCAGATGAGTGGTTGACTAGGGATGGAATAGCACCCAGAGGAGATGCAGAAGAAAGGGATACAAAGGAGCTTGAGGAAACTTCTAGGGGTAATGGAAATCTTCATTATCCTGATTATGTTGACATTTCATGAGTATAAACATATGTCAAAACTTATCAAATTGTAT